GTCAAGGCAACGATGGCGTGGCGGAAACACCAGCTCCTAGCTGACTTCGATGGAAACGAAATCAGCTCTCATGAGAACGAGAGCCCTGCACCCAACAAATTCAGGAGAAAGGCTTCTTTGAGTTCTCTTAATACCATCTGCATGTCTCTAAGGAAGCGAGTGCCATTAAAGCAAGTAGAGCTGAATTTTCATAAGACCCCAACTTGGGAAAGTCTGGAACCAAGACAGAAGCACCAAACTCTTCAGAGTATTAAAAGAACAGCAAAAAATGCTTTTGGAACAGTGTCCCAGGTACTTTGCCCTTGCAATGGAGCACAGATAGAGTTTAGTTTTTGCATCATTTCTAGACTTTGTACAGAATGCTGTACTCTAGAATCGGCACGCCATAATGGCTGTCTCATGGCTAGTAAGTAGAAAAATCTTTAATATCTTTGCTAAAGAGCAGACAGGCAAATTATGGATCTGGCAGAACAGGGAGGAAGGTGAGAAAAAAACCCAAGAGATGTAGTTTCATCAAAACTTTTATTACTAAATAAATGCTATATGTGGTGAAATACAGTAGGGAAAAGCAGAGCAGCCTTCATGAAGAGAAGGTGGGTAGAGACTGCCATTACTTGAAAAAGAATTGGCTCAGAGAAACATAGTGCCTTGGATTTTTTTTACTCATTTTCCTGTACTCATACTACTTATTAGTATGTTCTTCATTACAGTCAATCTAAATTTGGACTGACGTAAACACTAGATAGCAAAGGTAGCAGGGGAGCAAATGCGAGCTTGCACTTCCCTTTGGTGGAGACTTCCGATTTTAACTGCACCCCTTTTATGTTAGGGAACGTGTTTTTTTTCTTGCATAAGAGCAGCAGGAGCTCTGCTCCCATGCCTGCTGAAGGCCTTGAAAGGTTCCAAGGACTGGGGGAGTAAATGACTCCTCCAACACAAATAGGTGCAGAGGGCTGAGAAGCGAAGAGTAAATGTGATATGAGAATGAAAGTTGGGGATTCAGCTCAAATGTTCCTTGTCATTCTGGTTCCAAACTCTAGGCTAATTGAGTTCATTCAGCAAAACATGCCTCTCTGATGCTTCTTTCAGAAAATAGAGAAGTCTTGCCAAAGCCCAGTACAATCAGAGGTGACTGTTCCAGCTGAATCCATCAACAGAACCTATGCGACCACTTCCACCAAGAAAAGAAGTACTACACCTCGAACCCCTTGCCATGAAAAGAGTGTTACCCCAGCAGCCAGTTCCAAAGGCACCCCAAGATCCAGCAAGAGAGTCTTGCTTGGACCAGTGAGAGTGTCAGAACATAGGGAATGGAGGGATTTCTCATCCTGGCTTCGTAAAGATGCTGTCTCTCTCAGGAGATCAAGAAGAGCAGCAGCACTGAAGAGCCCTTATTCATCACCTGGTCCTGCCAGCAGAAACACGTAAGGCACATTCTTTTCTAAAACTGTTTATTACTTTATTTAATACTGTGATTAGAGTATCTGGTTAAATGACAGGCAAGATATTAATGTTGCCATCCTATTCAGCTATTCACTGTTCTAATAGTTAAGAAAGTAGTTACAGGTCCCGATATAGACATTGGCTGAGCACTGCATAAAGCTGAACGTGAAACTTAGTTTTGTGCTGTGACAAGAAGTTTTTAAAAATCATTTTCCCTCTGGGTATGTTTACACCATGTTTCTCAGCACCAGTATCCATCAGACATGAGAGATAGAACTGAGTTCTATGTTGAGGCATTTCTGGCAAAGAAAAATCCTCTCAATGCATCTCGCTCCTACTTGGCTCTTAACTTTTCCAGAGTTGCTATTTGTATTGCAGAGATATTGGAATTGCTGAGCTCTTTATAGAGAATAGAGGGATTTTTTTTGCCTCAAAGAATTAACACAAATTAGATAATGGGTTGTGAGCTACGGAAATACTTCATAATGCACACATAGATTTTTGTTTTGGTCAAAGTGACATGAGAAATATCAGAGCTTGAAGCCGAACCAAGCCTTGTGAATCTGAAGCTAGTGTTTGAGTTGGAAGATAGCTGTCGTAGGGATGAATGGGCACGTGAAGCAGCTGGTCAGTGCAATTAACAGCGTGATTGCTACAGCCCTAAGTTTCTCTGGGTAAAGTCTGGAGTAACTAGAGTTGTTACTGCAGAGATAGAGGCTTTGGTAGTGTCGCCTAGTTGTTTTGTCATCTTTGACCTTTAGTAATGACAATTTTGTTGCAGAGAGTTTGACTGTCAGTTGGAGCTGGTCTCCTCAGGGATTTGCCAATTGAAGCGTGTCTCCCAGGCATTTGATGATGCCATTGTGCAAGAGGAGAGGTAAATACTGCTAACTGTCCCTCAACTCTTAGCAGCAGGTTACTTTCCACCCAGACATTGCAAGCTGCAGGTTAAGGAATCCCTTTAACTTAGGATGAGGAATAGTTGCAGAACTTTTTCTGCTCTAATGTAGCAGAGCCTTTCTTTCTTCAAGATACCCGTGCAGGTTAAATCTGCCGTAGGCCTTGCAGCTTCTAAAGCTGCCCAATGCTCTCTGTGTTTTCAGGTTTCTTGCTGCAAGAGTCAGATTTTTTTTTTCCCAGCAAGAGACTACTTTTGACCTCACATGAGAACACTATGTCCCTGCCTCTGTCTGAAAGAAGTGCCAGCCCGGACTGGGGGAGCACTTAGGGAATCTGATGCTATCATAAATCTGCACATTTCTAAGAAAAATCCTTTCATTAGGTAGCATTATGTTAACAAATGGTCCATCGTGCCCATAACTGAAAAATTCAGAGGATGCAGAAGCCTCTTATCACAGCACTTTGGTTAATCCATGAGGTGGCAGGCTGCTGTATTTGTAGAGGTTATGTCATTCTGAATTAGACATTAAGATACTAAAAAATAAAGGTCAGAAGTCTTGTCACAGGGCAATTCCCTAAACCTCTTCGTCTCTTAGAGCACTTGATGATTCTATGTCAAGCATTCAGTAATTAAATGCCAAGCACACAAAATGTTCTACAGAAGATAAGCATTAAGTACTTTTATCTACAAAGAGGTAAGGGCTTAAAATCCTACATAATTCCAAACACTTAATTTTTACCAGTGGAGCTTTTTATAGATACCTGTAGGTTAAATCTTGTGTTAATGATCATATCCACTGAAAGTTCACTAAATCTCATTCCTAATATTCTCCTACCTGGTAGTGATATGACAGTTTCTCTCATTCGTAACTGAAGATAGTATCAACCAGGTAAAGTAGCTGTTCACTTACATTGTCTATACCTGCATGCATCTGTGGGGAGAAAACCTGCTGTTTGGAGGGAGAAAGGTTTATTAACTCGAGTTTCCTTAAAACATGCAGAACCACAGGGTTCTTCCCTCAGCTGTCTCTGCAACAGCAGATCATTGTGCGGTTGTAAAACTTCACCTCTACGTTGTGAATTTGTGAAACTTTGTGGGTTTGCAATGAACTGCAGTTGGGTTTCTATGCAAACAGCAGCTATTCTCACCCCACACCGGAAAACTACTGGTACTAATGTCTTTGTCAGTCGACCTGGCTTCTCACTGACTACTAATGAGGATCACCAAGCATGACAGAACAACTACCCTGAGCTGTCTGATTTTACAGCCTTTCTTTTCCACCCTTAGTATTGACTTAGCAATTAAGACAATGTTACCACAACAACAGCCGTTGATACCTGTATTGCTGGCATTTTTAAACGCAGGATTTTTACCTTAATTGATGGGAATGGGAATTCTTTGCTGTAAGTTTCTAAACATTACTTCTAGTGGCAATTCATTGAACCATTACCAGGTAAATGCCTCTACTATCATCACTGAGATCTGTAGTATGAGATCTGTAATATGACATGAGTATCTTACCCCATTACCTTGGAAGCTTCCTTTTGCTGAAAGGAACGTTACATCCTGAATACTATGTCCTACTTTAGTTACAAATGTAGCTGTAAGATGTTAATTGCTCAAGCTTTTCAGAAAAAAATGAAAGCAGTTTCAAATGCTTGACTGATGTTCTGAACAGTGATGTTCACTACGCAATTTGGTCCAGTTTGCCTGCATGTGTACATGCACACAATGTGGTCGGTTTGTAGGTTGCCTGCTTGAATAACTGCGAAATAAAACTTCTTTGGAGGTGCCCCTCCAGTCTTACATATGACTTTTTTGTTCTGGCATTCAATTGCCGTGAATTTTAGTGTTACAGCTCACTTTTCCCCTTTTTCATGATGACACAAACCTTGATCTCGGACTGTTCACAGTTGCTAGCTCCATGTAGTGTTCTAATGTTTTTCATTTTACTGAATCACATTAACTAGCAACAGGAGCATTTTTTGTGATACAAAGTACTGTTACTTAATTTGTGCACTGCTATTTATGTTCACTGAAGGTAACGAAGTGCTAGTGTTTAGAACTGTTATACAGTGAAAGGGTATAGTCCCTAGACCTCTTCCTTGCTCCCACCTAACAGTTTTCCAGCAATTTGTGCGACAACCAGCTAATTAACCTTACTGGCTTCATGATGCTAATGGCAGTCTTGTTTTTCTGCAGGCAACACGCAATATCAAACTACTACTATATAATGGCACAAAACTTAGTGTCTGCACGTCGATCTCGGAAACTTTCTCAAGCTATCCGAAGGAGAGCAAAGAAACTCCATCAGGCGCTTGGTACCTAGACAGAGGTGGCTGTAACTGCTCTTAGTTCACGAGCATATGCAGAGAACTCGGTGTAGTACTCTGCACGTCGAACAAGCCGTTAGGTTTTATAATTCGTCTTGACAAAGCAGCTTGGGACCTCCCTTCCCTTGCTTTTTCTTTCCAAGAGAACAGGAGAATCAAAATTGTACCACACTGTAGTACTTCCTGCTCAGGTGAAGGACCATCTTGAATGTAACTTTCATAAGGCAGGACACAGTTTGAAACTGATCTTGAACTGACCAGTAGCCATGGCCAGAGCAATGGCCACAGACTTAGGAAGGGTGATCATAGGTAACAGTAGAATTTAGCTTGGTATCCAGTTACTGCAAGTTTTAGTATAAGTACTTTGCATCCTAAGAGTACTTCTTTTCAAAGCCTAACTTTTTTTTTTCTTTATACAAACAACCAGAAGGTAAGCATCTGGTTCAACTGGAAATTAATGAAATAGTAGTGGCTTGTTTGAGTTCTGATCACAACTGCTATTCTAAGGCAACAGGCTTCTGAGGAGTCACTCATGCCACAGGACAGGAGCTACATCAGGACTCTAATTCATGGCCTTAGGGATTGCTATTAGATTAGCCTAATTAATCCTATCTTAAGTAGTTAGGTTCCAGACAAATCAGAGCCACTTTCTGTAATATCTTGCTGCTGCTTTAAATAGCATCTTGGCAGTCAACTTATACATTGGTTTATACAACTTATATATTGGTTTATACATCTGTCTTTTAGATATATATAGAAATTGTTACTACAATTAATGTAACCTCCTATTAGCTACTATCACAATGCAGGTATTTTATTTGATGAAGGTTATACCAAGAATTTTATACCTGTATTTTGTTTCTAATTACTTTTTTTAAAAAGTAACACTCTTTTGACAAGCCTTTTTTTGGTAGGTGATTCAGTTTAATGAAGTCTGAAGCAAAGATTTCTCAAGCTTCTGGATTTAAACACCAGGGCTGTGTCCCACAGTAGCAGCTTTGCGCAGGCTTCTTAGATTACATTCACTCTAAGATGAACCTTCAAAGAGAAGATTATTTTGGGAAACTGCTCTACGTGGTAATTTTTAAGATGCATGTATAATTTCATAATATTGGAACTACTAAAATTTTAATGGTATTAAGTATGAATATGGAAAGCAGTCATGTTTAATTCCAATTTATGTGTAAGTACTGATTTTAAACTTTCTCCTGATTTTTCTTTATTCTTATCAAACTAGACTGTTTTAAAATATTGTAACAGTTCATGAGGCCTGGAAACATGAAAACAACCCTGACTTCCAGGCTTTCAGATGACCGACACCTTTATCTTATGTTATTTCTTGATGTAGTTTTGTGTGTGTGTTGCGTTGGTTTTTTTAACCACCTTTCTATATGTAAAAGTAGCTTGAAATTATTGTTTGATGTACTGAAACTACTTCTATAAAGCCTTCACAAAGATGGTGTCTCATCACTGAAATATTTTCTCATATGAGTTTTGAAAAGGAAAAGGGTTGCAGTTTTGTGAAAAGTCCACCTCCAACCTAAGTATTGTTTCAGACAGTCAGTTGTACTAAACAGCCTCAGTACTGTTTCCACTGATTAACAGGACATATACAGTGACAATCTAACACTGGTAAGAAAAATCAGTGACACTGTTTGTTTAAAGGCAAGGAAGGTTTTATTTAAGTGACTAATCTGTTATAAGATTTTAAAAACCAGCGCACATCAAAATTGATACCGGTTGTAGAAATCTTGCTCCTTAATTCATAATAAGAAATTCATTATTGTATGTTTTTGAACCTTTAAAAGGCAGCCATAAGAAATAAAAACATTGGTCACCAGATAGAACCTTCTCACTGACAAACAATAGTTAAAAGTATGCACTTAAGAAAACTATAGACTGAAAGAACATGTACAATTTCAAGTTTCCTTGTATGAATTCAGCTGAAGTGGACTGCCCCCTTTCTTCCCCCACAAATAGAAAAATAAGTTATGCAGAAGATTTGGGGTTCTGAGAGAGGACTGCCATCATGTGCCCTACATCAGTCCCCCCAGAATAACCTTATCTTTAAAGCTTGCGATCTGTACATTATGTCTCAGTGTTGTAATCTCCGGTTACCATCTCCAAGCATGTCCCAGTAAACTTGCTTGCCCCTCTCTTTCTTCCTCCCTGTAAGTTCTGCAAGTCCCTACAAACGAGAAATGAACTGTCAAATTTGGATCATGTTCCCCCAGCCCCCACAATTATATCCAGTTGCAAAGGTAGTTTAAGATAAATACAAATAGAGGGTAAACTGTAATTCCCTTACCTTAGGCTTGAACTAAAATGAGGGGAAAAAAGGAAATACCAACACCTGACTTCAACTCCCGAGTCCATGGCACAGGATTCTAGCTGCTCCAGGCCATTTCTTATTTCTGAAAGAAAGAACTCTTTTCATCCCCCCAAAATGTGTTATTACCTCCATTTTTTTTTCTTTTAGTGAGGGACTGATTTTAGGATCATAAACCTATATTTACACTTGAGTGATTAAACATCATGGAAGTCAAATTACCTTGTTAAACCCACAAATTCTGCTGAAGCTACAAACACGGACCATGAAGTATCATTGCTCTTCAACTGCTTTCAAGAGAAGCTCAGGAGGTAAGTTGGGAAGTTTTGTGTTTATGGGAATTCTATCCTGTACCAGCTCCAGATGAGGATGGGAAGTGCCACTTTCTCCCCTGCATGCCTGAAATGAACAATTCAATGCAGAAGCTTGAGTTCAAATAGCACATTTCGAGCTCTAATCAGAAAAATGATGAAATTGCAGTGTACAATCTCTTCATTATTAAGCCAATAAGCTTATTAAAAAGGTGCCCATACTCCAATCATCTACCACTTTTACAATGTACTCACCTTTCTAGGCTTTAGATATAAAAGCAGAAAAGAAAAGAAAAAAAAAAAAAGCCTGGGGAAAATCCTGTTTGTTCACTAAGTTGTTGCACTTAACAAATTTTAAAGAGTGAAACCACCTATTGTTTTGAGCTATTATTCAAAATGCTTACAAACAAAATTTTTAGCAAATTTAAAACTGAAAATAATATAGAAAAGAAAAAAATCTTTTTTCCCCTTCTAAATTTATTCTGTGGAGTACGTGATGACATTATAGATCTAAGAACTGCAGATTTGCTTGAATACATCAGTACTACTTTGGCCTAAGGACTGCATAAATGGGACAACTTGTTCATTGGTAATGGCACACCAAGGCTGGTTTGCAGAATGGTGGAGCTTCACTGTTCCGCTTACTTTAATAGTAGATTAAGGTGTGTCCTTTTCCCCTTCTTATTTACTGATAGTTCCGCTTCTATGTAACCAGTGAAAGTTTTAACTGTTTAGAAGTGACTTCCCCAGGTACTAGAGGAACAGGTAAAGTAATCTGTAAGAATTAAGACTACTTCCATGTAAACAAATCAAAATGGCAGCTCTCATGAACCCCAAGAATTCTCAATGCCAAGTCATTTTGACACCTAACAAAGTTTTATGCTGAATAGATATAAAGCATGCCACAAAACTGAACAGGAATACTTTGGTCAAGCAAGAATCTGTTCCAAGAGCACTAGTGTATACAAACACTAAAAATAAAAAATACTAAAAATAAGCAGATTTGGATCAACATCACTATTCAGGTCTGGAATATTCTGCACTCTTTATACAATGATATTGTTTTTCAAACTTACCTAACTAGACAACAAAAATGAATAACCAGCCATTGTTTTGGGGGGAGATTTTTTTTTTTAAAGTACATTGGTTACAAGTTTGCTGTGAAAGCAGAACCAAAACTTCACTGAAGACGTCTTCCGATAGCTACATACACACACACAAAAACAAAACACAGTTGTGAAGATGTGTTTTCACAATATCTCAGATAAGTCTACCGCTGCTATTAATCACAGCCATTTTTTTTTACAATACTTTAAAACTGGTTCGGTATCAACAGGGCAAAGGAGTAAATGCTTCCAACTGTGGCTTTACTTTGCACTGACTTGTACTACTGCCTTAGCACCCCCTGGAATAACACTTCTGTGGTTTACAGTTTCATTTAGGTTTCCTCCATTCACCAGGTTAAAAGAATCATATAATCATAGAATGTGCTTTTCTGTAACAGACTGGAGGCACCGAAGGTGCTGAAACTCACCACTGAGCCTATCCTGGGTTCCCTGGGCACTCACTATTCCCGCCGGACTTCTCTGTCCCTTTCCCTTCTGTGCATGCTTTAACACTTCCAGAGTCTATGAATTTTAAGGAAGTGCTGACCACACAGAGACTGCACCAATGCAGACTGGCAACCAGAGAATAAGACAACTATAGGATCATGCCTGCTTAGGAGGATTGATAATCCTTCCGTGAAAGCACAAATAAAACTGAAATCCAATTGCAAACTGAATGCCCATGAACCACTGCAGGCAGTTTTCATGTGCACAAAGCGTATAACTAAAATTCTGACCAGGATGAAATGTCTTCAGAGAAAACACTATTGAAAACTTATGCTATAAAACTAGTTATTCATCAGGAAAACCTCAGGGATCACCCCAAGCATAGCTGGAGAAAAAAAAAAAAAAAAATCCAGCAAGTTTCAACATGCATGATATTCCCAGACATTGCCACAGAATATCTGTTGAACTGCCAGACTAGTTTGCAAGATATATAACATCTCACTCATCTCGTTCATACTGTCAGCTCCAAGAGAAGTTGTTTTACTATTTTAGTGGCAACGGGCTAGTGCTTTCAAAACAAATCATCTGGCATCTGACGTTTCGCAAGATCAGTTCCTAATTAAGATGAAGCCTTCACCTCCAAGCTGTATCACTGTTTGCCAATGAGCTCAGCTGGAGGCATGTGATCAGCAGATAAACCATTCTATCCCTGAGCAAGAAGTAGTGCTGGAGTTATGCAAAGGCCACACAAGCTCTCATATATTGTCACAAACAAAGTCAGGGAAAATATTTTCATGTTGGTTTCAATACCATGTATATGTAGAAACTATGAAATTGTTACCACGCTCAATCAGGCACACACCTCCACGCATTTGTTTTACTACTATTAGCTCATAATACTCTTAAGAGAAGTCAGCACAGTGACTACTGCAAAAGTGGCCCATTATTAATAGAAATAAACACACAAAATCAGAGGTTTCTGGACAGGTTACCCTGGAAAATGACATCGTACCTGCAAGAGTAAAAGACAGACCTAACAGCCCAGGAGATTTCTCTAACCGTGTGCTCATATGCTAGTTCGTTTAATACAGTCACAGAATTATGCACAGATACACAGAAAGGAAGTAAGCCTTTCTGCTACAGCAAGTTAAAACAAAAAAATAAATTTTGGAGTCTCTTGGATGACAGAGGTAAATGCCTAAAGAAGTTCTAGCTTTGAACTTGCAGCAGGAGTTAGGAGACAAGCTACACAACACCCAGTGCTTAGACAGAACTTTGCCATCAACCAATGTTGCTTTTAGGTCCCCTCAGCAAATTTAGAATCTGCCTAGTGAGTTCTTCCCTCACAAGCCTTGGACTGCCACGCTTATGGAAAACTCACAAGCAGTTAACAGTGAACTGTCTGGAGGGAGACTGAGTCTGGTGTATCTGTGCAAACTTCCAGCTGCAGAGAACAGAAGAAAGGGACTATGTGATTAAAACTGATACACACAGTAGGCAGAGACTACACTCCTCCCAAGTTTGTGGGTTAAAGAACTAACTGTGGTAGCACTGGGAAAGCACTTGTAAACCTGAAAACTGCTTCAATGTTGTTTGTGGGTATCTGTCATTTTTAACTTCTGTAACCGGCTGACTTGGCAACACAGCACACAGCCCCCCTCAATCAGTGTGAGCTACCAAACTTTTAATATCTTTCCTAAATCTTCAGCAAAGTCCATGCCTTCCAGTAAAGGATGCATTATAAAAAACTAATTACTGATGTGCCAGAGGTCTTTCTGCAAGTTTGAAACAGGTAACTGACAATCTTGCCAAGTAATGTCTGAAAAAAATACCTCAAAGCTCTCCACTTACAAGGTACTTTGCTGCCTCTTAAAGCAAAACCCACATTACAATACTCTTCAAAAAGCACACTGAAACTTCTGCGTGAATAGGGAGTTTAGACTTAGGTTTACTTCTGCACTGTCTCAATAGTTTTCCATTGCATTTTTAAAATTTTCTTTATAGGTCCACGTTCAAAATCATTAACCAACAGACTTGTTGAGAGGCTACACCGTACAAATACCTGAAAGTAAGGGTGGGAGGAGCTGGGAGGAAGGACAACATCCTCTTCACCCCAACTCTCTGAAATTAAAAACCAACCAACCAACCAACCTGAAAAAGAAATATCCTATTGACTTCAAGCTTTCCCAGTGTCAGTAGCCTGGTTTTAAATTTTAAAGAAAAGTGGGTTTATGTGCACTTATAACTTCATTGCAGGTTATAAAACACTGCAGCTCAGTCATGACAGTTACTTTGGTGAATTGAATGCAGCGGAATTATCTGCCTGAAGAATCTGCAAACAGCTACTATGTTTAACTACACCACTTTAGAAATATTACCACTTAGGGAATATTTCATACGTTTTACTTCTAGTAAGTTCATTGAGAAATTCAATTTAAACCAAAAGGAGAACATCTGTTTGGCACCTGTGATTTGGCATGTCTATTCTTTGAAGCTTGAATGCTGTAATTCTGAATGCCAGAGGTTTGTCTTAATACGGCAGTTCATATAAAGCATGAGAAGGTAAACAATTTGCCGACAGGAATTCCATTGCTTTTGTCTCATCCAGTATAAAGACTCTAGTTATAATAACCAAAAAAGTGATTGCTCTGAAGTGTGCAGATCCCTTAGTAAAAAGGCTCCCTTTAGTTTCCCAGGGTATGTCTCTCAGACTGACGACCAGAGCCATCTCCTTACTTGGAGTAGTCCACACATTTTGCACAGTTACCAAATTCCACAAAAACAATGTGATCTTTGTACATTTGCACACTACTTTGCAGTATACAGCAACACTAACTGCTTCAAACTGTGGCAGACACATTTACTTCTAACATGAAGTTGTTATGGTCTGGTTCATAAGTGGAGTTCTCCCATTTACTTGATGGCCAGCACCTCACACAAACATGAGTGCCCATGTAAGCTGAAAGAAAATCTTGGGTTTAAGGCACCCAAAAAGCATCTTGCTGCACAAATCCTGGCTATCCATTGTTGTTATTTCCCACCTCTGCTTCCCTTGCAAGTGTATCACTTTATGGAAAGTAAAGTGGAAGCAGGTGCAACTATTTAACGTTTAAAGTGCAAACCTTCTTTCTGTAATCCACAGGACCTACTGTTTATACTGTTTTGGGTGCAGCTAGTTACCTGATACCACAATCCTTCTCCTGACTAAAATCAGCCTGATATAGCTCTTTCTCTTATTGCACATTTTATTAAATCTGTTGCAAAAAATAACTAAGGTTATTTCCTGTTGCTTTGATGCGACAGTTTTAAGATTGTTTTAAAATTTCCCAATGAATATGCCAAGAGAAACAGACTGGAGGTTCCCCAGTTGGTGTAAGAAGGCAGACTGCAGAGCAGGGAAGACTCCGAGGTATGGTTCTCCTCTACATCTCTTAGTTTCGAGCTGCCTAAGTATTATCTCTGAGGCACGCCTACGAGTTTAAGGGGGTGCACCCAAGCTCTATATTCCCAAGCTTGCTAGGGGACAGATTCAAATTTGTGAACTCCACTTCGAACCCAAGCAACGGAGGGCAAATGCCTGTCATGATCTTTGTCTGACTCGGGCTGGCTCTGGGCACGCTCTGGCTTGGGGTTCGAAGAAGGTGGGTCAGGTTGCTGTACAGACATAGTCCTGCGGAGATGGTTTCTCTTGCGCAAAAACTCAGGTTGGGAGTGGAGGCCAAAGCTGCCTTTTCTCAAAATCATCCGAGAGTTGTTCTTTTTGGGTCGTGAATGGAGACTGAACTCCAGCGAGGCCAAGTGGGCTGCATAACCTTCACTGAGGAACTGAAACAGGAAGGAAAGAAAGGGAGTGACAGATTACTGCTACCTCGAACGACGAGTTCTACGAGGAATTAAGTTTCTGTCTTTGGCATCGCAGTGAGATACATACAGAGTACTAATATTTTTCTCTCGCTTTTTCTCAGTGGCCTGTTCCATTCTGTCATTCAGCAATATGCGACGCATGCATTTGCAGACACAGACTATGACCCCTTGATTCTCTTTACTACTCAGCCTGCCAGAAAATGCCTCATCTGAAACCAAAACTGCCCTTTTTTCTCTGAAACATTTTCTCTTTTGTGTGTGTGTGTGTGTGTTTGCGCATGCATTCACACACATGCACTGCCTTGTTCCCCACAGGACTTCCTGATTGAGTACCAAGAGTTACTTACTTGACACTGTGCCTGGTATTTCTTTGTTGAACGTCCAACTATGTAGATCTGGGATGGCGACAGAGCCAAGACATTGTAGACAGAAATATCCTTCATGGAACCATATGCAGCACAGATTTTGATGTGGCACTGAAACAAATATTACTACCAAAGTGAACGCTCTATTGAACACCAGGCACTACAAGGATGGCACTTGTTTTGCAATGAAGCAGCAAGAGTTCATTGTTAACAACCTCATTCTATAAACCACAGAAAACTAAATCTGTCTGCCTGCATGCCAGCAAGAACTACAGGCATGCACACAGGAAAGAATAAGCAGTTCATTTATTTATTTGTCCTGCCAGGAGATCCCTTTGGATGTTTTATCAGCCTTCCTTGCTCTTTGAAGAAATGAGGAATAGCAAAAGACTTTGTGAAGGCCAGTGACAGGTATTACTGTTCAAAAGGAAGGGAGATCTCCAATTTCACTGAATGACATTCTATGGAAAAATATTTTTTAAGGCTATAAACAGGTTTCTAGTACCTCTTGCACAAGATTCCTGAGAAAAATGGTCTTTTGTCGCAGTGGGTCATGAACAAGTCCATCTGAGAAGAAGATCATCCCTTGTGGGAAGTTGTGTTGAGACAACCATGAAACCACACGCTGTTTTTGCATATCTGGACGGCCAGTAATATAGATAATCAGATATCCCAGATCCTGCCAATGCCTGTCAGAAACACCAGGTAAATTATGGAGATGTAGAGAGAGAAATAATACCCACAGGTCAGGTCGGCATTTCTTTGCTCAGCACAGATCCAGTTAGAAGTCAGGTGTTATCCTTCAACATGCATGCTTAAGTCTCTGCTCCTATTGAGAAATTAAGTAATAATGTCTAGGTCTTGAAGGATATAGAGGGAAGCAAGAGAGACTCTTATACAATATGTTATATAAAATAGGAGAGCTATTTGAAAATGCATTTAGAATAGACCTTGCTATGCATCAAGTCCTGGTACATTGAAATCTTTAATGAGACTTCCTACCATTTCACTTGTAAGGAGTGAAACCCCTTGAAAATTGACATCCCTCCATTCCCATGCAAGTTCCAAAACGAGAGCTGTATTTCCCCATCCAGTATGACCTTAACAGACTTGCAGGAATGGATTCAAAGGCCTTTTAGTTTTTCCTCAAAACAAACACTTGCATTCATGGCACTTGATGCTTCTGAAGTAGAAGTATGTCCTTATTTGAAGTCAGCAAAACACAAAATACACTCTTGGCTAATCACAGTATTACATGGAATCGTTATCAACTGCACACACTGTACGGCCATATTCCCAAGAAGCAACTTTCAATCTTTAGGCAACTTAAACTACAAATTTCAAAGTAAACCATAGCATTCTCTAATTCCTCTGAAAATCAGGCAGACCTGATGTCCAATCAAATGTAGAAAGGTATCTGCAAAGAATCCTGGACTTAAAAGAATTGTTTATTTAGTAAAAAACAATTCTGCTTTCTTCTGTCCTACTGCGTTCAAACAGGAAAGATGGAGATTTAAAAAGTAAAGTGTGTAAACCTCACTTACCTGACAACATCAACAGCCCCAGCTCGGACTTTGGGGTCACTTCCCATAATTGAAACACTTGCTGCAAATGAACCATCGATGCTGAACACAACACATTCCATTCCTCGGGGAAGCACAGTCAGGTAACTTGCAGCACTGCTCTGGTCCCCTCTGGAGAGTTAAAGCAATAAATAAATTTCAAAAGTAAAACGTCAGAATGTAATTTCCGCACGTTCCTGTTAAGTCCTTAAATTAGATTTGCCTGAAACTACAGCTTTGAAAATTGCTGTCAAATAGTGTTTCTGATTTCAGTCCTCTGTGGACTTACACTTTTTTTTTGGAAATAGCTTTCCAAAGAGAAATTTGGAAGCTACTTTTAATAAGAAATCATGTGTATAAATACCTAAAAGAATTCGGAAAAAAAACCCCAGAACATCATGAAGTACTCAACTATGCAAACATGCTGTCTATATATGTACATATATGTCTAAATGTGTACACATTAAAACATCAATGCTATATATATGCAAACACACAGAGAGCTCACAGAAAACAGCTACTTCTTTTCTCCACTAGAAAAACAGTTGGTAATATTAGTATTGTCTATCCTTCTATACTTGCAAAATACAATGGGAATACCAATGCAGAAAAGTTAAAGAGAAAAAAGAACACAGTAAACGGAAAAGGAAGCCCATCCCACACCAAACCTTAACCAGAAGAGAAATGCAATCATAGATGGCTTTACTCATGGAAAGACACATGAAATGTAATCTTCTCTTCATGAGGTATTTTCCTAAAGAGGTCTGGACATTAAAGATGAATAAAGCAACAAAGTGATCCAAAGCTCTTACCATCCCATGACTTCGTGTTCCCTAAAATACCATCATCTGAAGATCACATCTTTCTGTTAGAAAGATGATTATTTTATGATCTATTTATATATGGTGACAAAGATTCTTACGATATATGTGCACAGATTAATGAATTTGAAACTTACTCCTGCAGTCTAAAAAGCTCACAGGAGCTTAGCTTCAGAATACACTTCAATTCATTTTCAAGTAATTCTTTTTTTTTTTCAATTGATTGCCTGTTCTACTACACTGAGGTAAAACATTTCTTCCTCCTCAGTTAGCACTGCATCAGATTGTACACTTAACTTTGGACTTAGATCAACGGTGGGTAACAACACACTCTTTTTCAGCTAAATTCATCCCACTGATTTAGCTGCCAAAGTAGGCATTCAAAGGAAGCTGTAAAGCTACTTCTGAAGCGGGTAGGCAATTTAATCGTAAGGGCAATATTAAATGAAAACTTTGTATTAAATCAAACTGAATTTTTGTTAAAAAGAAGATCTTTTAAAAGCACAGATACCCCCGTCCTGCATCTAGGTCAACAGATTTTATTTCACACATCTTCATTCTTTATGCTTTATTTGGCACAGAGATTTTTAAGAAATGCTGGAGAGCTAGGAGAGCTGAATGATTTTACTTCAAGGAATTATGACTTTCAGGTGCTTTTTTTCTTCTTCTTTTTCTTTTTTTCCCAGCTTAGAATTAGCATGGTCTTGAGTTCAGAATTAAAGTAACTCTTGGTTGGCCTGACATCACAGATAAACTGGTGCCTGAGAGCAAGGCAGTACATCCTCTACTGTTAAATTCAACTGGAAAAGCTTCTTACCAGTCTGAAGAACACAAAGCTCTACCTTTCAGCAGTCTTCTCCCTAACAAACAGGGTGCGAAATATTCCAGGTTGTGCATTCTTGCCACAAGAAGACTGATTACAGTCATCCAGTCCCTGTATTTCACAAGATCAAGCGCTCCTAAACTGAAATGCACTGAGGATTTTGTGTTGCAGCGGGGATAAACTCACTGGCCTGGGCACCTCCAAACTGGCCAGTAAACAGGATCACTGCTTCCAATCTAAGCTGACAAGACTACGAGACAAAAACACGGTGACAAGACCAAGGAAAGATAACTGACCAAAATGTGCCTCTGCATCCCCTTCAATCTCACACACTTTGGTGTTCTGCTGCTCACAAGAAGCCATCACAGCTGTAGTTCCCCTTGGAGCTATTACCTGACCACCATTTTGATGGGATACACACCAACCCGCAGTCTCTTCTGTTTGGGTATGCTGTAGGATATCCGGCCACTACTGCTGGATATCGCTGTGTCAAAGTACACCCACCTACCCGATGACGGCTCGGTCATGATGAAGATATCAACCTGCAAAACGAGAACATTCATTTAGTGTGACAGCAGCCAATGTGCCCCCTATTTACATTAGTATCGCCAACTACGGTTTGTACTAAAAGCTTACAAGGAAGTTTGAAGGAACTTCAAAATCCACTAAAAACTTCACAGAGGATCCTCTCAATTAGAAAATGTGTCCCAACATATTAAAGCTTAGAAGTGCGGGTGTCAAATGAGGGTATAGAGCTCAGAAATTTGGCAGAAACGTTGAATTAGAAAAAAGATAATTTCAGCTTGCATGTGTCTATTATATTTTTCCATACTAGATCTATAAAATGGAAGATTTTACCTGGTTACTAGCAGAATGAACTATTTCTCAAATCATAACCTTGTCTTCAAATGCAAAATCTAACCACTTCAAATTATCAAGACTTTTTTTCCAGAAGGTTTTATCAATATGGCTTTTTTCAACTGGAATATTTCATCGAAATTAACACAAAGTGTACGAAATACTTTGACTTGAATTGGCACTTTTTAGCAAAAAGAACCATCAGTCAATCTGAGGGAGGTATCTGCCAAGACCTCCTATACTCAATTTTTACAAAACTTAGCATAAAAGGTTCATGTGGACTTCTTCAGTGCTCAACACTTACTGTTGACCCCTATCCTTCTGAAGTGGGAACATGACTTCAAGGCAAGCAGCCAGCAGGGAGAGAAGACAGCACTGAAATGCTGAAATTTATCTTCAGCCTAGTTTGCATTTACACACTGGAACGCTGAAAGCTAACATGAATCCAGTCTACAAAACTGTAGAAATCCCAGCAGGTCCATTTTAGGAATTCTTGGGAAAACACGTGTAGTCTCCAGGCCTGATCCTAGCCCCAAGAAAAACTGGCATGTCAACCCCACCTCAGGTTAATAAATGTTTTCTAACAGGTCAACACAGTGAGGCTGAGATGACCTAGGTGGTCAGTCTTGTGGCAGCATGAGGTGGCCTCACCCCCATTATCACTGCAGGACTCCTCAACAGGAGTCACCCAAAGCAGATGAGGTTCAAGCAAAATTCCCTGCCTGCTGAGGACAGCACTGCGATGGGACAGAGCAGGGCAGGCTCAGCTGTCGTACGCAGACTAACACTTCAAGGTCCGCTCAAGTCTGCAGGCCACACTGCTAACTGACATAAATCCCTTCCCCGCTCTACTTCCCAGTAGGGAAGGTGGGAGAGGGACAGCTTTCCTCTGACAGATTCAACGGTCTTGTGGTAAAAACGTTTTCCTCTAACTTCTGCGCTCTACGAGTTACAAGAGTGTCCGACTTTTGACCTGAGGCATCGCAAGGACACAGGCACAAATAACGCACGCCAGGAGATGCACTACAAACACAGTTTCAATTTGCAGTCTTCCTGACTGTAAATCAAATTACAGACCTCCAAAGTAATCCAATACACTCAGATACATTTAACTGATGTTTTGAACTTATATTTGAAAAAATGGCACAAAGGGGAAATTATTAAGTCTTAGAATGATACAATTTTGCTGTTCTTCACAGGACCACTATGAACACTGCTGGTACCCTATTCATCGCTGTGCCAGAAGAACCTTATCAATGAATGAAATGTGATCAGATTGAAGAAATTTATAAAAGCTAATAAAAAGCTGTGATTAAAATCTTCAAGATCGGACAAAATCTGTGATCCTGCCTTGCATGTTACCTCGAGTGACGGGGCTGCTTAAACTTCTTCTACAAACCATACCAGACAAGACTGAAGCAGCGATGGTCTTAAAAATATAGTCATAACTTATATTGACAATTCAAGTGTATCAGCACAGGTATGCTGAATTCTGTGACAAAATCTTAGAAGCAGCACATTACTTATGTCTTGTGGAGTTGACTAACAGAGCCCAGCTGTGATGGAAGCATGATCATCAGGGAGGTGGTTCCAGAAACATTCATCACCATCACCTGCACTATAAATACACTCCAAGGCAAGCATGTCTGATCCCCGGAGGCATCAGGTTAGTGCTGCATCTTAGCAGAATGGGTACCCACAGAGCAGGCCAAGAGAAGCCTCCATGCTTCAGTCAGAGCTGTGCAGCACAAAAGGTCTACCTGTCTCAGTGAACGGGAACAAATGTGTTCATTTAATGCTTGGTTTTGTTAGCTGCAATCCTGGCTACTACAGGCAGCTTTAGAAGTGACAGTTCCAGTCGTGTCTTGTTAATACTTAAATTTGAAAACTCTTCCATGTATAAGAGAAACAGCAGCAGCCACCTAGAGTCCCTATTCCTTTATCTAGTTGTACTACCTGGATAGGAGGATATACATTTCTCTTCTGGTGATTTGGTAACCACTACAGAATTCTTTCTTCCCATTGCTCAAAACATTAATTGTCTCCAGTGGATGGTACAATCAGGTGGCAGGTTCACAAATCACTGCACAGCACACTCATCCTTAACTGGAGGGGATGGCCAGCATCATGCAAACAGGATAAGGGCGGAAGGAAAGGCCAGCTACCAGGAAAGCTGATAGACAGAGCATATTTTTGCAAAAGTGATGGGGGCTAGTGACACGCTTTCCCCTCTTTGTAAGCCTTTCTGTGGTACAATATGTGAGCCACATTCAACAACCGGCTCTATGGAAAACTGCTTCAGAAAAATAAGAAATTTGATTATTCAGACCTTACCTTTTCGCCTGTCAAAGCTACCATGTCCAGAGGCCCATACATAAAGCGCCCAACTAGTACCTGAGGACCATCTTCTGCTGCAATGACGTCATTAGCTCGGTGATTGGCAGTCACATTCTGAAGTAAGAGCAGAAGGCAGGAAGGGTAGTGTTTGCTTTTGTAATGAGGCTACTGTGTCTATTATGTTCTTATCAACAACAACACAGAAATACAGTCCTGGACAGTGTGTCTGAGGCACGTCACAGTGCACCTTAGTACACCTAGAAAATGCGTTCCTCTTTCTGCTGAAGCAGAAAGTAATGGGGGGGTTCCTGAACAGACTTTCTAGTGAAAGCACTCAAGATGACCAAGTAAGAGAGAACATTCAGGAGAATGCCAACTATCTTTCACTTCAAGTGATGCCATAGACTCACACAATTATAAGCAAGACACAAGCTTCTTAACTGACATTTGTAACTGAAATGGCATCCGACTAATGAAGAAAATATTTTTTCTGGAGTTACACATTCATCTAGCACATAAGAAAACAGAAGAACAATCTCTTTGCTTAAATGAAACTTAAGGCCTCTCTGTTATTTAAAGAAAGAAATACACTTTCTCCCAACATGTAGTGATAAAACAAGAATAAATTGTTTCTAATCCCTAATTGTTAATTTGTTTGCCTCTATTTTCAGCTCTTTACTAATACCCCGTTATGTAAACTCATGTTTTGGGTGATTAAATTCCATTTAAATTGCTGCCAAATGCAAACGTCATAGCTGCCACATATATTCAGATTCATACTTACTCTCAATTTGACATGTGTCCTTTTGCGTAGCCATTTTTCTCGTTGATTCGATGGACTCAGTGTTGCTGGATCCAGGTTATCATTTTCCTTGAAATTTACATTTTCATACCTCATAACCTGAAATTATATTAATATTGTAACAAACAGCGTGTGGCTTGGGGAGCCCAGGTACTTGGCAAACAAAGGGAAAGTGCACTGCTGACCCAGCTGAATGACAGTGCAGAGCCAAGAGCACAATGGAAGCCGAAGAGGTACGGGCCGTATGTTCACACCAGTTGTATGGACATACGAACTGCTTTCACTTTGCCGGCCAACACCTAATCTCAAGTACTTGTTGTACAGCTTTGCTATTTACAATAGAACTTGCACATTCATCCAGAGCAAACGGTGAATACATCAGGATGGTATCAAGTGAGAGTCACGTTGTTGGCTCATGGTCAGCAAAGCCAGAAATAATGCAGCTTAAGGCCATAAAAGTACTTTTTGACGTTCTTTTTGGAGCAGAGGTCAGATTCTTGACTCCATCTGTACTGATTTTCTGTACATATACCCAGACGGAATGGTTTTTATCTCCTTTTGCATATTACTCACCACTGCAGGAGGTGATAGGGTCAGGATTTGGCTTGCGGCTAGTAACATCTGAAGGTAAGAGGACTACAAGTTGTGAATATGCAGAACCTGAATATGCCATACAAGCTACACATTCTTATAACCTAGATACCACACATGTACCAAGAAACTTGCAGGTTTCAGGACATAACCCATAGCCTGTAGAATCTGTGGGTTATGCCCTGTTTCAGCTGAAACCACAAGCTCTGTTTTACCAAAATCTGTGGGTTGCACCCGGGGATCATGGATAGTACGAGGCTACTTCATGCTGAATGAGAAATAGCTTGGTCTCTTTCACAACCCAGCAGAAAATTCCTCAAGTTGAACAGTTGTTTTTCTGTGCTGAAGTCTTCCGCCCTGCGTGGCCTCTCTGGAAGAGTGGCCCACAATAATTTTGAAGTATGTCTCATATGAAGACCCTTGAGTAAAATCCTGCTGCATTCAGCCTTAGCAAAGCGGTTGGTTCGCAACGAATGACAGTAATGCCGAGAGGTTGGTGTGTTCTTTAATAAATTGGCATAAATTCTATTAACTTAAGATCATGTGCCAGCATTAAGGAGTCATTAGCCTTAACCCTCAACAAGGACAGAATGCCCACAGACTATGCTGGAACTAACCAGTCCTTTATGTAGTGCTGCAAGTTCACATATTACTTTACAGGCACATTCCAAATGCTTGAAGGGTATATTAAATTCCCAAAGCTGTAATGCATACACAGGGCTAGGTAAGACACAACAATGCAACTTGATATGAATGCAGAGAAATAACAAGTAGAATAAAGCAGGAACAGTTGCTAACAGACAACTGGGCTCAGGATGGCATTTGAAAGGCAAGATCAGAGAATGTTCTGATGGATTCACAGCAAAAAAAACATCCTGAGAGAGAAGATGAGATCACAAGAGCTATAAGATACCTGCAAAGGAGAGAAGAAACATCTATGTACAATTATCTAGGGCCCATGAAAAGAAAAAAAAAAAAGGTATTTGCATCCTATCACTTCCAGTAGCAACCTCTCCTCTACTTCGGGATGAGTGCCAAATAAGATTCCTGTTCTGGAGACTGTTCTCATTCATGGAAAAATTCTTCAGCAACTTTTGCTTTGCCTTGATTATGGTGACACTAGTGATAAAGAAAGTTTTTAAAATTAGGTTTTAAAATTCTGCATTGCTTAATGATACATTTTGACTGGAATCAGATATACTAAAGGATGCTCTGATAGGACAGCAAGAGGTTGAAGGACTCTCAGAATTTCATCAGTGAAAAACAGCAATCAAAAACTCCACAAGTGGTCTGGTGATCAGCCAGACTGTCTGCTGAACACTCCACTCACAGACTGCTACACAAAGATATGGGCTTGATTCAGTTGCGCAGTAGGAGGCAGCAGTTCTGGACTGGAGGGATCTCAGCCACCGAGCTTCCACTCCCAGGTGATACCAGGTGAGTCTCCACAGAACTAGTATCACTGACACCAGCATTGGGAGTAGGATGTGAAGGGAGCTGACTCAAGAGATCAGCTAAAGGATTTGTGAGAGAGGGAGACACACTGACATTTGCCAAACTGATTTAATGAAAAAAGGTCACTGTGCAGTTTTCTGCATTACGCTCTACACTCTTTGCTGGGCAGCAGCTGTTTCACCATTCACTAGATGTAGAAATCACACAGACTCTTGAGTTAATACAAATTAAATTGCTCATGACTGGCTTTTGAGTGAGGGTGATTTTGGGACACTTACCCTGCAGGTTTCACTTGAACTCAGGTGGTTTTTTTTGACCCCAGGTGAGATTTCTCAGCCTCACCACTTTTTCTAGAGGTCAGAGTACTACATTACCCCTAGGCCACTGAGAGCTGCTGTCTAATTACTGACACAGTAGGAACAAGAGACCCATCATACAACTCATGAATTAGTTCTGAGCAGACAGTGCACAAAATGCCTCAAAATGCTCTAGTATAGTTACAGGGATAGACTTGATTTTCTTATGGGAGTAGTACTATCGAACTGCTAGTTTATTATGAAATGCACGCTAACAATTTGACATTTAGTAAGGAAATACTTAAGTAAAGCTGGAGATAGCCCATCCCTTCAAAAAACCAGGTCAGAATTAACACAGAACACAGGGTTACAGTGATCTGCAGTGTGGGAGGGGTAAGGTATGCATGAGAGTGCACTGCTCCCTGTCACACAGT